ATCGCCCGGTCAGGTGCGCCCGGCCCCGCGGCCCCCCGGCCTCCCGCCCGCCCTGTGTCGTCCCTTCAGCAACAACAAGATCCTGGTGGAGCTGGACGAGAGCTCAGGTAGGGCTGGTGGCACCTCTGCGGTGTCACCCTCAACCCACGGGGTGCTGTGGGGCGCAGGCAGGGCCTGCCCCATGGCACGTGTGGCCCTGGGCATGGAGAGCCACTAAAGCCCCAGATGTTCCAGCTTCAGCTGCTTAGGGCTCTCGGAGAGAAATGTTTGGGGACAGGAGTCACGCCGGTCGTGGGCACTTCAGGTGGCTGGGTGCTGCTGGGGTGTCACCGTGGGCAGACCTCTTGCCCTGTCCCCTTCCCCGCTGCGGGGTCCCTGCTTTGGGGACCCGGTGGAGTGGCAGGTGCTCCTCCAGGGAGCAGCTGTTGGGGATTTCTCTGTCCTGGCTGCCAGGAATAACTCACAGGGCCACGTCCGCACGCTGAACAAAGAGAGCCTCTTCTGGAGGCTTCCCAGGACCTGCTGTCGGCTCCCAGGCCCCTGGGTACGTCCTCACACTGTCCCCAGCCTGGGCACAGCTGCAGCACCCGCACTAAGCACTCTGTGAGGACCTTTTGGGGTAGGATGGTGGTGTTTGGGAGAGAACAAGGGCCCAGAGCTCTTCCTGCGGTGCTGGCCAGCATGGTAGTGCTGCTGACAGGCTCAAAGGTGTGTGATCCCCTGGCAGGGGTTTGCTGTGATAGAAGCTGGAGGTTCAACCTTATCCAGTGAGCCCAGAGAGAAGGGAACTGCTGGGCAGCCTGACCCTGAAGGTGGCTGGACTTTGGGACATGTGGCACACCACTGCATGTGTGCTCGCTCATGCTTCAGGTTTGCCACTGACGGACTGTGCCTGGCTTGCAGGCAGAGCTGGGCAAAGGCAGGGCCTTACTCTTGGTCCTGCTGCTCTGGGGAATTTTTGAAGAGCCCGGGGTGGAGGTGGGTGAAGCTCCCTCGCGCAAGGCAGTGCATGCTGCTGTGGCGGGAGTTTCTGATGTCTTTGTGTTTACCACGGCACAGGAGTCGCCACGATGAAGTTCAAGAGCCCCCCGGTCAACAGCCTCAGCCTGGACTTTATCACAGAGTTTTGCATAGGCCTGGAGAAGCTGGAGAATAACCGGGAATGCCGGGGCGTGATCTTCACATCTGTACGTGTTGTCCTGAGCTCGGGGTGCGAGCTGTGGGGCAATTTGGCAGGCACAGGTGCCTCGCTCGTGTGTGGTCTCTTGGTTTCCTGGTCACTGGCATGGAAGGGCCGAGAGGCAGCTTGGGTTGTCTCTGGAAGGAGAGGAGGGGGTTCTTGGAAGGGCTCTGCTTGCTCTCCTGTGCCCTTTTCTAGCAGAAGAATAATAACCATGTATTGTCATTTGTCATTAAAATCTAAGCTGCTTATCTGCAAACCTGACACATCCCTTGAGATCTCTTGAACTGCTCAGAGGGAGCTGAGAGGAAACCCCAGTGTTTATTTTCACACATGATGTGGGTATGAGGTGGTGCTTGGGGATGGGACAGGACAGGTTTTGTGCTGTGTGGTGGATATACCTGCACAGGGATCCTGATAATGAGAAATCACGCTGCAAGCAAAGAGGCTCAGCCCTGCAGGCTGTGGTGTTGGGGTGATCCAGGCTGTGGGAGCACTGGGGAGATTGTTTCAGAACTCCAAAGGACCCTGGTTTATGTCATATTTAATTATTGCTTTCCCTTTCCTCAGGCTGCCAGGCTGCGTGTGTTAGAGGGGTGAAGGGTTATCCCTGAGCAGCGGCTCTCTCTGACGTTTGCGTTTTCCCGATTACAGGCTGTCCCCAACATCTTCTCGTCTGGCCTGGACATCACTGAGATGTGTGGTAAGAGCATGGAGCACTACGCCGAGTTCTGGAGAGCCGTGCAGGAGATGTGGCTCCGGCTGTACGGCTCCAACATGGTCACAGTCGCTGCCGTCAACGTATGTCCTTTGTATCCGCCCTCCTCGTCACCCCGCGCGGTCTGTCACCTGCTGCAGAGCATGGGAAGGGACGGGCAAAAAAGTCAGGCTTGTCAGTGCGGAAACAAATACAGGGATGTGTCTGTTGGGATGTCTGGACAAAGTCTGCGTGTGTGGGTTCAGCGCGTTGGGGCTGGGGAGGGGTGGAGGCGTGGGGTGGTGCAGGGCCCACGTACGCTGCAGGCGCTGGTGGGCAGAGCAGCACTGCAGGGGCAGGGGCCAGCTTGCACGGCACGCGTCCCGCCGATGGGGGCTGAGGTGCAGCAAAGCCATACCCTGCCTCAAGAACTCGACTGGGAGTCTGGCCTCTAGGCTGGAGGACCTGGAGGAGGGCTGTAGGCCTGTGGTAAAGCCCAGAGGGGCACTAGTGGCAGACGAGGACTGGAGAAGCCGAGCACTTGGCGCAGGGGAGCCCAGAGGATGCCTGTCGCCTGCCCGCTGGCTTCTTCCGCGCCGACGAGACTTGTAGGAGTCACTCAGGGTTGCTTGCTTGGCCCTTGTGCTGCTTTGCTGGAGGGGAGGGGATGGGAGCAGCCCTGCCCTGCGGCACGGGCTTGTCCTCGGCCCCGTGGGCAGCGGTGCTTCGGCAGCGCGGTTTGTCGTGAGCCCTTTCTGCATCGGTTCTGCTCCTCCAGCCGTGGTCCCTACCCAGCAGGGGAGTGCTGTCTGAACCTCAGTGTCCGTAGGTGGGTTGTTACCTGCTTAGTGTCTTGTCTTCATTTCTCAGCGCAGTGCCAGTTTGGCAGCTCACAGTTCTGTGTCTGCCATAGACTCTTTGAAGGCAGCTGGGTCTCCGAGTGGCTTCCTGCAGGCGTCCTGTGCAGGGCTAAGCAAGCACCAAGTTGTGGCAAAGATGGTCACAAATGGAAGTTCTACAGGCAGAAGGTGTTAAAAAGCCCCTGGACAGAACTGTTTCTGTGGCATTTAGGGTTACAAACTCAGGTAGGGTTAAAAGCTCATGTAGGGTTGCAAGCAAATGCTATATCAAATCTCCACTGCAGGGTTTGCAACCTGAGTAACACAGATGAGTTAACTAGATTTCCAGGCTGGAAAACACAAAAAAAACAAAGAACATTGAAAAATGAAAGGATAAACCCTGGTAAACCCATCAGAAATCTTTAGGGCTGTTTTGAGTCAGGTAATCAGAGACTTGGGGGACATCTGCTCTGTGACCCTGTGTCTTCCCCCGCTCTGGGGGGAGCAGTGAGGCTGGGGGCACAGGGCCATTTGTAACCATGACCTAGACTCACTCCTTCCTTCTCTTTGCCAGGGGTCCAGCCCAGCAGGAGGCTGTCTCATTGCCTTGACCTGTGACTACAGGATCATGGTGGAGAACCCCAAATTCGTCATCGGCCTGAACGAGGCCCAGCTGGGCATTGTGGCTCCCTTCTGGTAGGCCAGTGCTTCCCACCTGTGTAGGTCTCTAAAAAGAGTTAATCTTCAGGTAGTTTATTCATCAGTTTGGCTTCTGAGAGGTAGGTTTATGTGTCAGTGATTGGGCAGCTGCAGGAGACAGCACCTCATTTCTCTGTCCTATCCTGCAGATATCTGAAAAGCTTTGAGGCTGCAGAACGTCCTCACATCCTTCGCCAGTGAGGGCCTCAGCTCTGACTCTGCAGTCAGTTCCAAAACGTGCTGGAAGGTCTCCCTGGTCAGGCTCCGTCTGGGAATTTGTTTTTCTCTGGATACACGCTGTGTACCTGCAAAATCCCATAGCTGTGGAGATCTCTGAAAGTGTAGAGAAACTATTATACTAAGACACAGGCCCGTGGTTGCCCTAAGAACGTGTAGATGTACTGTTGGAAAGGAGCTTTCCTATCACAGCGGGTGGACACAGCTGGAACCCGTGCCCTGAGCGGCTCTCGTGGAGAGGAGGGGAAACTGTTGGGGTGTTACTGAAAATGGCTCTGCTCGCCTGGCTTAGCACAGCGTGGCTGAGCCCGTAGCTGCTGTTTGGAGCCCCGTGCCTGAGGGGTGGGACCAAGTGTCCTCTTCGCTTTGATGTCCGGGTGTTTCTTTCCCTGACTGTGGCTTTTCCTCCCGTCTCTTCTAGGTTTAAGGACACATTTGTGAACACTGTGGGACATCGTGTTGCCGAACGCTCCCTCCAGCTGGGCTCCCTTCACTCTGCATCCGAGGCCCACAGGCTTGGCCTCGTGGATGAGCTGGTGCCAGAGGTGAAGCTCCAGGAGAAGGCGGCGGCCGTTATGGCACAGTGGCTGGCCCTTCCCGGTAAGGGGGGCACCACTGCCAGAGGAAGAGGGGATCTGGTCTGGGTGGGAAGGACTGGTACCTGGGAGCTACGTACCAGTTTCCGTGGAAAGGGAAGGTGTGGATGGCTGGGAGGTAGGAAAGCTCAGCACGGGTCCAGGCAGCCTTGGGCTACCAGAGATGGGCTTGCCAGTGCCCCCGTGTGGGAGGACACCGCGCTGGGTGTGCAGGGCACGTGGCTCCGGCTCGATTCGCTCTGCCAGTCCTGCTGAGTCAATCCGGAGGTGCCTGAGCTCCAGATACAGACTGAATCTCCGTGTCTGTCAGTGGAGGTGTTACCCCAGGAAAGCTGTCGTGGAGTTGAGGGAACAGGCTGGGTGAGAGTGCCTGGGTGGCTGCCAGTCCGCCTTTGTGGTCTGGATCAGCTCACAGCACTCTGCTGGTCTGGGGGTGGCGATGGGGGTGTGAGGACAGGCAGCACGCGTGTTTGGGCTGCTCATAGAGGAGAGGGCTCTCTGCCAGCCAGGGCTAGATCGAAGCTGTCCCAGCCCGTGCCACCTCCTGAGCGCTGCAGGAAGGTGCAACTGCATATCGCCCTTTGGCTGCTCTTTCTGTAGAAATCTGAACGAAACTGCACAGAAACGGAGGGGTCCCAGGACTGTCA